TTTCCAAACTATCTCTTCCCCGGATGCCTGGACTAAATGCCAGAAATTTACTTCACTATGTTAATAAATCCACACAGCCTCTATCATTGTGTGGTCCTTCCTGTTGTTTCTCCCAGTTAAATTCAGCCTAAGTATTTTACAAAACTATTGCAACCAGGAGGAGCTCTGGTGGCACTGTGGCTAAGACTGGGGGTTGGTAAATAAAAGATCAGCAGTTCAAACCCACCAGCTGCTCCATAAGGGAAAGATGAGGCAGTCTGCTTCCTTGGAAACCCTATGGGAGAATTCTATTCTGTTACCCTCTAGAGTGCACCTGCTTTGAGAATATAGAATATTGTGCTTCTTGGGGAATACAGTGTACCTAAACTTCCTTCTTTTGGAAATATGGGTCAGGGTAGAGGGAGAAATACCAGAATAATATGGTGCTGGATAAATCTAAAATTGAACTGAATTTCTTCTCTTGCCAAAAAGGTTTCTTGGACCAGTTTAAACTCTTATTGTCTCATTTCCCTCAATTGCACCTTGGGGATTTAATAATGATAAATATAATAATAATTACACATGGCCAGGAGGGATCAGTCCTTAGAGAAGACCATTATGCTTAAAAGGGTGGAGGGACAGCAAAGGAGAGGAAGACCCAGGATGGGATGGATTGACTCAGTGACTGGAGAAATGGGATTAGGTCTGTCGGAGACTATGGGATTGGCTCAGGATTAGCAATCTGCTAATGTACATAGGGTCGCTATGAGTTGCAGGTGACTCAGTGGCACAGCAACATCACGATATAATAATAAATACAGAACTGTGGCAAAACAGATCATTCTACTCACAGACCAACTCTTCTAGAGCCGATCCTCTCCCAACTCATTCTGTGTAGGTAGCACAATTTCACATTAAAATTCCACACAATGTTAAAACCACTGGCTGGTCTTACTTATCAATAGCGATGGACACTCCCAAATAAAATGTTATCACATTAGAACAGATGATACTTTTAAGATATAATGGCCCAATCCTAGGGACAGTGATAGCCTTGAGCCATTACAAAATTATCATGGCGAAACATAGTCAAATGAATATGTATGGTTAACTCTAGTCCCTTGTAAAAGTTCACCAACATGAGAAGAAATAAACAAGATGTTTACCTAGAAGGACAAATAGGAGAAAAGACCCAGAGGATGGTAGTACTTTTTAGGAAACAGAGGTAAGGAAAGCTATTCACCCAGCAAAAGAGGGATAGTGAGAATCTAAACGCCTTCAGAGGAAAGTATGAAAAAAGAGAAATGGTGAAGTTCTGCTACAGAATTCCTCAAACACTCAGATGTTAAGAGTCCTCAGGTCCTTGGAAGGTGGAGTGAGGAATGGACTGAAAATGAGAAGCCTATACAATGATCTTTGCTTTATGATGCTTTGATTATTTGCATATATTGTACTCTTAACAAACTGAAGTTCTGTGTCAAACCTGCATTGAGTAAATCATAGCTATTTCCCCAACAAAACATGTGGGAAGCCCTTTGTGCTTCTGTGTCATATTTTGGTTGCTGTTGTTATGTGTCATCGAGTCACCTCTTGGCAATGTGCCCAAAGTATGTGACATGGAGCTTCAAAATACTTGCCTCCTTGAAATAAATATTTCAAGGTATTCGATGTATTCGATGAGACTATTGTACCCTTACTGGGATATAAATCAATGACACTCATTGCCAGTGTGTTAATTCTGACTCTTCATCAGGTTGCCAAGGGTGCAGATCTTGATGGAAAAAGATTGTCTGTCTTTCTCCCATGGAGGAGCAGTGGGTGGATTCAAACTGAGAATCTTTCACACACCACACCAACAGATCTCCTTTTAATACAGCAGGAGACAAAGGTTTGACTTTCTGATGGAATTGATATAAGATCATATCTTGGTTCCTGTAAACTTATTTTCACTTTCTTCAGCCTCAATTTGAACTTGCATATGAGTAATTGATGGTCTGATCTACAATCCGCCCCTGGCCTAGTTTCAACTGCCGATACTAGGCTTCTCCAATGATTTCTTCCACAGATGTAGTCACTATGGGCTCTTGTGTGACAGGAAGTTTGAGGAAGGCACGGGATAGAGCAGGGTTCAGATCTTTTGTTCATAGAGTGGATATGAGTTGTACTCGATTTGACGGCACCTAACAACTACAGCTACAACAATAAACTAGCCTTACGGTTACTTTGTTATGTTCATATGTTGTCAACCTGAACTTGAACCTTATCCTGTGCCATCCTTATCACCTCTGATGCACTAGAATCTATTGCTCAAGTCACCAGGTCAATCCGTCTTATTGAGGGTCTTCACTGACCTTCCATCTTTCCAAGCATGATGTCCCTTTCCAAGGAATAGCCACACCTAGCTACACATCCAAAGTATGAAAGATGAAGCTTTGCCATCTTTGCTTCCAAGGAACACTCTGGCTGCACTCTTTCTAAGACATATCTGCTTGTTCTTTTGGTAGACTATGGAGTATTCATTCAGCACTCTCTTCCAACACCTCAACTCAAAGACACTATTTCTTCTTCTATCATCCTTAGTAATTATCCAGCTTTCTGGTGAATAGCAAGTAATTGTGAAGGCCATAGTCTCAATCAGGCTCACCTTAATCTTCAAACTGCCGTCATTGCTCTTCTGTATTTTGGAGAGGTCCCTGACAGTAGACTTGCCCGATGCATTATGTCTCCTGATTTCCTGACTGCTGGTAACAATGGTGTTGATTGTTGATCCAAGCAAGATGAAATCATTGACAGATTCGATCTTTTCTCCAACTACATTAATATTGACTGTTGGGCAGGTAGTGGAGATCTTTGTCCTCTTGATGTTGATATAATCTATACCAAAGGCAGTAGTCCTTAATATTCTGCAGCAGGTGTTTCATATCCTCACTTTTCAGCAAGTAAAATTGTGTCATCTGCATAATGCAGGTTGTTGATGGGTCTTCCTCCAATCCTGATGGCACATTCTTCTTCCTAGAGTCCACCTTTGCTATATAGAGATTTTCAGTCGCAGTAGCAGAATCCAGTTCCATAACTCCAAGATAACTCCTAAGGAAATTCATGAGGTTAAGTAACAAGACTCTCAGCCAGATGGATTGACACTGCAACTACAGCAATGGACTCAACTGTTTCAGAGATGTTGAGGATAGCACAGGTCAGAGTTCAGATCTGTTGTTCATAGGGTTGCTATGAGTCATATTCAACTCACCAGCACATAACAACAGCAGTAAGTCACTGGAAGGGCGCTCAGCTGGTGTAGTCCTTAGGGAGTTGCAGTGCTAACCCAAAGGCAGTGCCTCTGGGCCGTTTCCTATCATGCCTGCGGCCTCCAAATACCTGCTGGAGGGTCAGCTCTGAGGCAGTTCCTACTTGAACACAATAGCAATAAATTTGAGTTTTAGAAGTAACTAGAGGAGTCCCTGGGTAATATAAACGGCTAATGGTCTAGACTGCTAAAACAATGGAAATTCAAGTCTACCCACAGACACTTCTAAAAAAGTCTCTCTGATTGCCATCGAGTAAGAACTGACTCATGGCTGACCCACCAGCTGGTGTTTGGAGTCTAAATGACAAGGGGGGAGATTGCCCAGTTTTCTCCCATGGAGTTGGTGGCAGATTCAAACCATCCTAGAGGTACAGCGACAATGACCCCAGAACTCCTTAATCTGCGGGTGTGTGTGTGTGTGTGTGTAAACCTGGCAATTAACTGCAGAAGAATCAGCCACTGAAAACCCTATGGAGCACACATGGAGCCAACATGAGCTGAAGTCAACTCTACAACAGAAGGTAGCTGCTAAATGACTGGGAAGCCTAAAGCTGAATGTAGCTGCAGGCACAGCTAGTTTGCACTGTGAAAGGCTCTCTCCACCTGAGCCATACGGAAGGAGCGCCCAATCTTGCCAAAACAAGGAAGGAAAGTGCTCAACAGACAGAAGCAACCACTGCTGTTCATGGCAGTAACCTGACATCTGGCTCAGCATGTCCTGCCTGGGACGCCCGCATCACCCTCTCCCTGAGGCTGAACAGAGGACTGCAATGATCCAGCATTTCTTAGTCATGAAACAGATTGCCTGTAGTCTATTAGCTCTAGTCGTTGTCTTCAATTACTGTAATGACGGTCTATAATGAGGCAAGAAAACTCATTGCCTGTTCCCTGTTCCCCCTCTTGCCTCCTTGTTAATCCTGCAGTGATGTCTACAACATAAAAATCTGGCTTTTAGGGGTGTGTGTGTGTGTGTGTGTGTGTGTGTGTGTGTGAGTTTAATTAGGACAGGGTAATATCCCATATGTAAACACTGTGAAAGTGAATGATCATAACCTCTGAAGGGAACTGAGTGAAAAGTCTTGTAAACACGGCCCTGGGCCGTTCCTGGAGCTGCAGAAAGCTGCTGTCCCTGTCAACGGGCTTGAGCACAGCAAAGTTGGCCAGTTAGCTTTGCCTTCTGCCTCTGCTTAGGAGCTAGACTGCCAACTGCTAGAAGTAGAGAGGCCTCCAGCCACTCTGGAAGTCCAGCTCTTCCGAATCTGATTACTCCCCGCTGCAGAGGTATCACAGAATTGTTGGCAGAGCTGACAAGTGCCTGGCCCGCTGCTGGGGATCCTAACCCCCAGGACCTCGATGAAACCAACCATGTAGCTGAGCATGTTCTGCCAGTCCATCTGCTGTAAGAGAGGCTCGGGCACCTTCCATAAGTTTCTGCTCCCAAGTTACGTTTGCCTTTTCCCTTCCCCCATTCCCTCCCTCCACGGTCTCCCTCCCCCTTCCCCCCCCCCCCCCATTAGAAGGCTTCCCTCCCAAGCACAGTAGCAGGAGAAGGGCTCTTGGTAACCATGGGCAACCGTGGGTCTGTACCGGCTATTTGTGCTATATTTGTAAAGGCGCAATCTAGCCACTAACTGGGTGGAAGGGAAAAATGCGTTCAGGGTTTTCTTGTACAGTAAAATAGTATCTGCTACTTCTTCTTTTTAAAATTTCTTTTCAGAACGATCAATCCACGGGTGAGATGCCGATTAATCGGAGGCGGTGATCTCTCCATGCTTGCTGGAAAGGTTTGTGATGGCACTTTGCTAACTGGGTACATATTGATGTCATGGGGAAATCGCTGACCTCCATTTCAGGTCAGCACTTGCAAGACATTTCAGACACTCTCCCGGGTTTGCTAATTCATGCAAATGGATGTGTGAATCCTTTTAATGATTTCTCCTTTAGAAAACACTCCTTTTAGAATGCTTCCAGGATATGGGGCAGACCAACTCTTTCTTTTCCAAGCTTCCTTCCAGCCTCCTTTCCAACAGCCCCATATTACAAAGCTCCTTGACAGACCTTGTTCTTTTTGGTCCTTTTCAGGTAGAAAAGTAGTCTTGCTTTTTATTTGTCTGCCTTTTCAATTCTAATTTGATTCTTAGCACCTGGGCACATTAGGAAAACATTTGAAGCACTTCGTTTAAATATAGAAAATGTGGGAGAAATGAAGAAGAAGGGAGACAGGAGAAGGGAGGGAGAGTGAGGGAGAGAGTGAGCGCGAGAGCGAGCCTGAGCAAGAGAGAGAGAGAGATATGAAACAAGCGGGGTTTGGCCTTGTGAGTAGAGAGTTGTGCTGCCAACTCAAAGGCAAGTGGTTCAAATCTGACAGCTGTTCCCCAGGAGAAAGATGGGCAGTTTCCTGTGTGATTTACATATTATAGATATACAGATATGAGGGACTTTTTGTAAGCTTATTTTTCAGCCTTTTTCTTTTTTTTTTTTATTCTGGTTCAACTAAACAGAAAGTAACCCTTGAGATTATGGGAAGAATACCTCCAATTTTTACTCAGATTTTCCCAACCTTGCAACAAATAATTAAGTGAAAGAACTGGTTTCTGATGTAAACAGACAAGCTGGAAAGAAGAATGGTTTCATAGAACTGTTAGTCTTTATGGAATGTGACCTGAAATGCAGCTTTGCTGTGAATGAAAGCAAAGCAGAATTTGGTTTCTGTTCTGCTATACTGAAACACATCTCCTGTTTATCGCCAGTGAACAACTTTAGCTTTCTAAGTAAAAAGGATCAGACTATTACACAAGTTCAGTCTTTCATTTTTGTGGTTGTCATGATTATGCAATGCCTGGATGGGGGAAAGGAGTAGAAGCCACATTTAATAAAAATATGCATATCACTTACGATGCCACAGAACCACAAAGACTTTGGACTACAAAACAGTTCAGTTCCCCCTACTGTGAAGACAGCCAGAGTAAGACCTACTTTAAATTTGATATCTGATAGTGCATTGTAACAACAGAGATTAAAATTAACATGTTGTTAATTCTGGTCATCATTTTAAATTACTACATATTTCAAATCCACCAGCTGCTCCCCGGGAGAAAGATGGATAATCTCCTCCCATGTGATTTACATATTATAACTATATAGTTATGAGGAACATTTTGCAAGCATCTTTTTCAGCCTTTGTTTTGTTGAAACAAAACAACATTTTCAGCTTTTGTTTCATTGAAACAACGCAAACAACAACACATATTTAGCGCATAAAATAACATTTGTAGACATTTTTAACATTTAATAATCCTGGAATGGTCTTTAAGCGGAAATGTATTCTAGTACTTCTTTGTATGTTGTTGTTGTTGTTGTTATGAGGTGTCCTTGAGCCAACTCTGACTCACAGCAACCCAGTGAACAACCAATTTCAATCTTGCCCTATCTTGTACCATCCTCACTGTTTTCATTTGCTTGACCTCATTGTCACAGTCACTGTGTCTGTCCATCTTGTTGAGGGTTTTCTTCTCTTGCTCTGACCCTCCATCTTTCCCAGCATGATGTCTTTTCCCAAGGACTTGGAACAACATGCCCAAATTATGTGAGACAGAGTTTCATCATCCTTGTCTCTCAGGAATACCCTGGTTGCACTTCCTCCAAGATAGATGTATTTGCTCTTTTGGCAGTCCACAGGGTATTCAGTAGTAGTCTCCAACAACCCACCTCAGAGGCAACAATTCTTCTTTTGTCATACTTATTCACTGTCTAGTTTTCAGATGTATGAGAAACAATTGAAACTACTATGGCTTGGATCAGGCACACCTTAGTCTTTTAACTGACATCCTTGCTCTTTAGTACTTTGGAGAGGTCTTTCAAAGATTTTCCCAATTCTGCATGTCTTATGATTTACTTATTTTTTTGTATGACATTGCCATATAAATTTCTGTAACAGATATGTTCATCTAGTGCTTTTGCTATGTTGTTGTTGTTGTTGTTGTTATGTGCCATCAAGTCATGCAGGATCTGCCAAAGTGATGACTCTTAAGTGTTTCAAGTGAATGTCGAGAAAAATTTTGCATGTAGAATGGTTCTTTTCTTCTTCCTATTGAAATCATGCTCTAATTCTTTGTAAGAGATTTTCCCCTAAAATGAGCATAGAATACTCCCTTTCTTTGACAGAGAAAAGGTTAAAGGAAGGATAGCTCCATACTGATGGTTGTTGTTGTTGTTGTTGTCATGTACCATAAAGTTGAACTGACCCATGGCTGACCCTCCAGCAAGTTTTCAGAGGTAGTTAATTGCATGAGAAGAGATTGCCCATCCTTCTCCCGCAGAGAAGCTGGTGGCCTCAAACCACATGCCTTTGGAATTGCAGCACAGCTTCTTGCCACTAGGCCACCAGAGCTCCCTTACTGAAGGTAGATTTCCCAAAAGAGTGATAGTCATGCCTCCACATTTTCCTCCTTCCCTGGGTGGTGCAAAGGGTAAATGCGTTAATTGAAGGGTTAGAGGTTCATATCCACTGAGAGGCAACTTGGAAGAAAGGTAGGATATTTTTGTTAACCTACTCCGAAAAAAATAAGCCATTGAACTTTTCTATTAAAATGACACCAAAAGCAAAAAAGGAGGCCCCTGACTCTCCTCAAACTGAAGCCAAAGCAAAGCCATTAAAGGCCAAGAAGACAGTCCTGAAAGGCAGCCACAGCCACTAAAAAAGATCCGCACATCATCCACTTTCTGGTGGTCTAAGAGGCCGAGAGTTTGAAAGCAGCCCAAATACCCCTGGAAGAGCTCCCCCAGGAGAAACAAGCTTGACCACTCTGCCATTATCAAGTTTCCCCTGGCCACTGAGTTAGCCATGAGCAAGATAGAAGATAACAACACATTTCATAGTGTTGTTCATTGTGGCTGGATGTCAAGGCCAACAAGCACCAACTCAAACAAGCTGTAAAGAAGCTCAATGACACTAATGTGGCCAAGGTCAGCATCTTGATTAGGTCTGATGGAGAGAAGAAGGTTCATGTTCGACTTGCTCCTAACTATCATATGGCCAACAAAATTGAGATCATCTAAACTGAGTCTAACAAGCTAACTGTAAATACAAGTTTTTCAAACCTGCCCCCCCCAAAAAAAATCAACCATTGAAAACACTATAAAGCATAATTCTCCTGTGGTGCATGAGATACATGGTGTCACCATGAGTCTGAGTCAGCTTGGCAGTAACTGATCTGGTGACTTATTGCTACAAAGACGCCCCATGAGAAAGTAGCAATCAGGCAATCAGAATAGTTCAAAGCCATGAAAACCCAGCCAGCAGTAAGTACAAGCAAGCGTCTACCTTAACTTTCTGCTAGCATAACAAATTGCCCGTTCAGGTGTCCAGGTGCTAATAATTGATGGTATTTTACACTCTGTGTGTATGTAGATGTATTTCCATATACATTTAAACCTATGTGAAAGTAGAACCCCTTGGGCTTAGAAGACATTAGGTAAATATTTCTAGGATGAATAAACAGTGATTAGCAACAAGACTGTGAGCCTGCTCCGTTCCGCTGTTCAGTTCAAGTTCAACCATAGGTAATATGGATACAAATACCTGGATCTGTGTTGCAGAAGAATTGCATTCACAAGAACAGATCTGCTGAATTGTGTATTCTCCATGGTGACAAGACCTTTCAGACACCTTATTTCCATGTTAAAGTTGGAGAAACACTTTTCTGGGGCCAGGTCGAGCCACTCTTTTTCTAGGCTTCGCTAGTTTCCCCGGGCTCTGCTTTGCTTTACTTAGGATGCTGTCTGGACTATTCTCCAGGGAAAAGCCAATGAGACCCTAAAATACACAGGAGATCGTATCATGTGTGTAGTGAAAACCTTCCAGTGGCCTCTCAAATAGAACTACCAGATTTAGCAAAATTAGTGGGAGCGTGGGGGTAGGAAGTGTTTTCAGAAAAGAAGATATCCAGTTAAATTCGCATTTCAGTCAGGCAGTGTCCCGTGTGGAGCACTGGTGGGTTAGTGGTAAGGAACCACGCTGCCAACACAGAGGTTTGTGATTCGAATCCACTAGCTGTTCTGTGGGAGAAGCATAACCAGTCAACTCCTGTGCAATTTATTGCCTCTGAAAACCTGCTAGGGTCAGCTTTGGGTCAGTTCCAACTTGACAGTATCCCATATTTACAAGAAGCATCTAGCCCATGCAGTATTTAGTGAAAGTATGTTGCATGCAATCATTGTTTATCTGGAATAAGTAAATAACTGGTTGTTGTTGTTGTTAGGTTCCATCAAGTCATAGACGACTCATAGTGACCTTATGAACAAAAGGCCTGAGCACTATTTACTTACCTGAAATTCAAATACAACTGTATCCTGCATTTTACTTGACAACTCTACTCTCAATACTTTGAAAATACAATCTAAAATCCTCCCACGCCTGTACCCTATGTTCTTACACCATCCCTCACCTTCATTATACCCACTCACCTTCACCGCACTGGCTGGCCTTCTTCTAGCCTAGACTTTCTACGAGCTGTGGTTTCTTCTAGAATTCATTTCTCCCTCTACTTTCCATCTCAGTCCAACTGTCTCCTCCATAAAGGAGGCCTCCACTGATGCCCTGCCTCGTCAGCACCTGCATGCCCCCTCTGTGCTACTCCATTCTTGGTAAATCTCTACAGAGGCAACCACTTCCCTTTAAGACCCTTTGTACAGGTAACATTTTGCCTTTTTTTTTTTTTTCATTGCCTGTCTCCTTTAGAATATAAGCTCTGTAAGGGCAGGAACCATGTCGATTTTTTTCACC